ATGCTTCAGCATGACAGCAAAAAAGATCCCAAAAAGGGTTGGTGCGAGGGCACAGCCCTGTTTCACTCCACTTCGGATGTCAAAGGGATCTGATGTTGAGCCGTCAAAAACTACAGTGCCTTTCATTCCATCATGGAAGGACCTGATGATGTTAAGGAGACAAGGTGGACATCCAATCTTGGGAAGTATTTTGAAGAGGCCATCCCTGCTAACCAAGTCAAATGCTTTTGTCAGGTCTATGAAGGCCACTAAGAGTGGCTGTAGTTGTTCCCTGCATTTCTCCTGCAACTGTCGGAGGGAGAATACCATATCAGTGGTGGATCTATTACATTCTTTGAAAAAGGACTGTTTTAATAAGATAAGGGTTGACTGAAATAAAAATAAAAATTTTGGCAAGATGCTCATTTGATCTTCGCAGTTCTTCCCAGTAATGATAATTGTAATTTTTCCAATTTCTCCAAATTGTTCTGTATCTCCTTCACCAATTTCATATAGTTATCTTTAAATAATGTGCTCGTCTTCTTTGTAATTTGTATCCCTAAATATTGAATTTTCTTTTCCTCTTGGAAGTTCGTCTTCTCTATTAGCTTCTGCCTTTCTTATTCTCTTATATTTTAGTAAGTATTTTGGTCTTCTTTTTATTTATTCTCATTCCTGCCATGTCACCAAAGTTTTTTAGCGTTACCATCAGGTCTTCTATTGAATGCAGTGGATCTTCCAGTATAATGACTAAGTCGTCCGCAAAAGCCTGAAGTTTATAGACTTGGCCTTTTACTTTCAATCCTTTCAATTCCTTTTTATCTCTAATTTGTTCATTTAGTATTTCTAGAGTCAAGATAGTGGGGTCTCGACTTACGAACTTAATCCGTATTGGAAGGTGGTTCATAGGTCAAAAAGTTCGTAGGTCGAATCTGCATTTCCCATAGGAATGCATTGCAAACCATTTAATCCGTATCTGCTCTTTTCCGTCCATAGAAACTAATGGGAAGCTGCTATTCCGCCTTCTGCTACTACAGGGGGATATTTTTTCTTTTTTTCTCTTAAGTTCAGGAAAGGAGGGGGAAGGCAGGGAACAGTTTGCAAAGCACTTTTGAAATATTTTTTTTCAATGAAGCCAACTTTATAGCATGTTTTAAAGCATGTTGTGCTGATTTTTTCAGCACAAAGACACACAGGCAGGCTTTTTAGGTGCTGAGCAAGCCTCCCCAAGCCTCTTCAAAGCCAGCCAATCAGCTGATAGGCGGGGAGAGCAGGGGGCAAGAGCGGGGGGAAAAGCACAAAGTGGCTGCCATGCTCCCTTCTGGTGTGGGATTTTAGCTGTTTCCTGCTCTTTTTCCTGCTGTTTGGAGGCTACCAAGGCCTGGTAAGTGACTTTCTTTTATTTATTTTTAAGTTTCTGAGCTTTTTTTCCCCTCCAGAAGCCTCTAAGGGGAGGGAGGGGCACTATTTTCCTGTTCGTAACTCGAGGGAAGTTCGTATGTCGAGTCCTTATTTCCCTATAGGGCGGGTTCGTAAGTTGAATTGTTCGCCAGTAGGGTCGTTCATAAGTCAAGACCCCACTGTAAATAAGAGTGGAGACAGTGGACATCCCTGTCTAGTACCTTTCTGTATTTGAATTTCTTTTGACAACTCACCATTAATTCTCACTTTTGTCTTTTGTTCAGTATATATTTCATAAATCTTTCTCCAACTTGCAGTATTTCCAAAGAATATATCATAAAGTTCCAATCAAGATTATCGAAGGCTTTCTCCGCATCCAAGAATATTATGGCCATCTGTTTCTCCGGGTGTGCTTCATAATATTCCAAGGAGTTTAGAACTATCTTTATGTTATTCTTCATCTGCCTTTTTGGGAGAAACCCAGACTGATCTTGATGTATTAGGCTCATTAAGATTCTTTTCATTCTAGTTGCTAAGATAGTCGCATATATTTTGTAGTCCACATTCAACAGTGAGACCGGCCTATAATTTTGTATTTCTTTACCTTCCGTATTTTCCTTATGTATAAGAGAAATTATCGCTTCAGTCCATGTTGTGGGTATTTTTCCTTCTTCTTCAATACATTCTAACAGCTTCTTAGATGGCTGAAGTAGCACCTCCTCCAGTTCTTTATAATATTCCGTTGGTAGCCCATCCGGACCTGGTGCTTTCCCTTTTTTTGTTGCTTTTTAAGAGCTTCTCTGATTTCTGCATATGTTATAGGTTCATTTAAGGACTCAATTTGT